GAATTGAAGACTCCTCGGGGAAGCCACAGCGTAGCATCGGAGGAGGAGGGCGGGGTGGGGGGTGTTTGGGGGGCGACTGATCCACCAATTAACTGCAGTGAGAGGGGTCCAGGAGTCTCACGCCGGCGATGCTTCCAGACCCGCTCAATGCCGATGGGGGAATTACATGAATTAAAAGAAGGAAATGTATCTTGTTTTCATACTATTGTTTACCGTCACCATAGGGAAACGGTGACACTTTATTAGCCTGGATGTGTCTGTTATGGAGGCAGAAGCAGCCGGAGAATTGCAAACTTTCAAAATAAAACCCCATTAATATTTGCATCTTGAGACCTCTGCTGTGCGAGTACGAGGCTGTTTGTTCATTCATGTCATGTCTCAGACTTGAAGAGACCACACACACACACACACACAGATCCTTTGCTCACTCTTCTTCCATCTAAATTGGGCCCGGTATCCTGCAGCTGAGCTGGTAAAAAGGACAATGCAAGAGCACTTCAGAGGGCAGCTCCTCATTGCCCTCCGTGTAGCTGTGCTCGCCCGTGTTGGAGCCACGCCTAACTGAATGCACAGCTCCAAGGCCTCTGCTGACATAAATCTGCACGGCAAAGCAACTGTGGGGCGGCGCTTATTTAGTTTAACAGCTGTAGCTGCTGAACCCGAAGCGATGAGGCCTCTATTTCTCCCACAAAGTAAATGAGAGCGCATCAAATGCACCAAACTGATTTTTTTTTTTTTTGTATGTGTTTTCTTCATTCCGCTTCGCTTCCGCTTGCACACTTGCCTGTTCCCTCGTCAGAGGCCCTCCATCTTGTAAGAATGAGGCGAACTAATGGGCCGTGGCTGAACAGCCTGAGCTCAGAGGCTATCAGTTCCCCCTGGAAGGCCGGCAGAGGAGAAGAATAAAGGAGAACTCCTTCTCCTTCTTTATCTGCAATATTTCAGCTTTGCTTCTGATAAATCAGGTCGATGTAGTAAAAATCAGACCAAAAGCACTGTATGGTTCCACGTTGTTGTCCGTGTTTTCATCTTTCACAGTGTGCTTTTAGTTCAGAAAAATCAATCGTAACTACTTTGGTAGCTCAGAATGCCTTATTCAACGTTCAGCTGAACGTCACTTCTGGTTGCAAAAAGCCATGAAATTTAGTGCTAACATACGAAGATGATACATATTAGTTACTGACTCTTATTCTGTAGCCCCACCATGAGATTGACATTGGTTTTCGAGTGAAATATATTCACATAAATTGAACGGATTGCAAAGAAACTGTTCGTGCTATGAATGATGGTAACATTATCAACAAGTGTCTTATGTCTGCAAATTGTGTTTTTTAACTAACTTTGAATCAAATGGTAAATATGGAGGACATTATACATTAATGCTTATCACCAGCATGTTAGCATTGTCAACATTAGCAGCGTTAGCGTGTCTGTGTTTGCATTTAGCTCAAAGCACCGCTGTGCCTAAGTGCAGCATGGTAGACTCACTTCTCTTACTGTCATATCGGTCTCATTGAGCCTGAAGTTTGCTATGACAGTGTTTGACATAATTAACCCTCTGAATCACACGTCAGAAGTGTCAATAGTTTGCGGCGTTACCTCAAAGTCTCACATGCCAATCAACTGCCCTTCAGTCCGGAGTCTCATTCATCCATAAAAGAAGTTAGTTTGCCGTTAGTAAGGCCACAAAAGACACGCTTAAATGTTGACGTGAGCTTGTGATGTCCAACCCCGTCATTTTTAGCACAACAGTACGGATTGCAGTGGGGAGAGGACATGGAGTCGGAGTAAAGGTGACACAAGGTGACACAGCAGGGCCATTCAGAGGAGCTTCGCTTGGCCGGGTTGTGACAGTTGTGTCCCACTCCATAAGCCGGGGGGCATTTTGTAACAAAGACGACCAGCGCGAGGTGCCAAAGCGGGTCTGTCGAACAAACATACCCCCCCGCCCTCGGCCACGCCAGCCTTGGCCAGGGAGAAATGGTCGGGGCGACGGGGATGGGAGAGAGGGGGTCTCCTTCTCACTGCGGAGCACAGACTGCTCCTTCCGTCGGGACCACAGTGAATGGAGGTGTAATTGGCCATATCCAGTGATAGATGCCTCTTCCACCTTTGTTACTCTTCGGTGGCAGGATGCACGCAGGCTTGTCTGACAATATGAGGTTGATTGTGCAGTCTATCAAACATCGTTCTCAGGAGGAGATGTGTGCGTTACAAGGATGCTGAAGCTTTTAAAAAAAAACTTGAATGATGTGATTTAAAAATGAAATATTCAGTGATTGCCCATTATAGTTACGAGACGATAAACATGAATGTAATTCTGATCACAAATGAATGCGTCATTTTCATCCATAGAGGCAACTTGGAAGAAATAACTCAATGTAATTGTTCCAAATCTTTGTCTCTCTGCAACATAAATCAAAATTGTAGATTTTTATTTCATTGGAACGAAAGAATAAAGACGAGAAAGTGTCCTAGAATTGTATATACATTAATTACATACTCACACAGAGCTGAATGTGGTAACTACAGTCTATATTGTTTTGAGGGCCATTTACGGTGTTTGGTCGATTTATTTCATTTTGCCCTTAATCCACCTCACTAAAAGGAAATTCTGACAAACTGATCAAAACAACAAAGATAGTATGGTGATTCCTCTTGAAAAAGCGTCACCTCACATCTCACCACACTACCCTGAAGCTGCATGACAAGATGTACATGTTGCTCAGGGGCTGCAGTTTGCCTTGGGCAGGTACACACTCAAATCCTACCCAGAAAAAATCAATGGCTTGCATGATGGATGGGCCTAATGTTAAGGAAGAGAGAGTTGCCATACATCAGGCTTTCACACAGCAGGCCTGTTTTTGTTCAATAAGTCAGTTACGGACTAAAGAGTCTGACGCAAGCAGGAAACAAACATCTCAAGAGATGATTTGTGACATGCTGGCTGACAGAGACAAAGACAGCGGCAGGTTGATGGAAGCAAATAACGAAATGCAAGCAGAAACGAAATTGACTTTGCTCAAAGAAGAGCTACTTTGCATTTGAGAGACAAAGTGTGAAAATGAACAAATTAATAAATAAAGTGCGGCTTTCGTCAAGGGTTTTTGACATCCCCCTAACAGTCGAGAGTAGCGGGAGAAACGCGCGATGCTCGTTAACTCTGACCCAAATCATAAGAGACACTGGAAGCTGTTAAAACACAGAGCAGATCGGGGAGTCTGGGTGACCTAGATAGCATTGGCTTTGACAAGCAACCGTACTTCACATTAAATCGCTCTTCCGTCTAATACAATGAGGCATATCTCCCTCATTGGTAATGAAAATGACATTCTGATAAGGTTCATTGTGACATGGAAAATACCTCTTCCATTGTTGGCACCCGAAGGCTCTGAGGCAGACGTACTTATGGGAAAACTGCCCCTTTGCTTGGACCCGGTTAAGATGATCTACCTCATAGGCACACGCATGGGGAGGGCTACGTGGTCCAGACAGCCACCCACAAGGAGAATCGGCAGGCAGAGAATCGGCAGGTTTCGAGGCAACCGCAATGACCTGTTTGTTAAAGAAATGAAATGGGTCCTCACATCACAGTTCATTTTAGAATAAGGGGACTGTTAAAGGACTGGTCTGCGTGAGTAAAATGAAGATGCCGCTTTAGAGCGTCTTATTTCACAGAGGAGTTTGTTTCATGCATACGGAATGCACAAAGCTATCTATTTATGAGATGAAAAATGTCTCTCTGGAAGATTTGCTAGACTCAATTTGCTAGACCCAATTTGCACAAAAAAAGGAAATGTAGCCCTATTTATAACCTCAGTACTCTTTTCTTTTCTACATGACTCTCTGAAGGAGGCCAACACATTTAACTATAGTATTTAAATGCTACTGGCTACAACCCCTGCGGATGATTTCAGTTTTATGTTCCCAGTTTTTAAAATATCCGTCCCAACCACCACTATTCAATAGTGAATAGATTTCCTCTTCAGGATGCTAAAACATTGATGAAATGATACAAAGAAAATGAATTAAATAACAAACACTGATACTACAGGTAACCTAAATCTAAAGGACTATTTTCACAGTCACGCATTGAGTTCTGTGGACTATCTAGATTAAACAGTGAATCTGGAGCATGGGCAACAAAAGGCCGTCAATTAGAGGACATTATTACATTACATTACATCATCTTTTATTTTGAGTGACCCACAGATTGAGTCACATCTATTTATCTTCTTTTCAACTGAAAGTTTTGTTTAAAAATGCAAATATATGTTTTTCTGAAAAACTCCTTGAAAGACATTCAGATCACGGATGTTTTCACCGCTCGGACTCTCAATGTCAAACAATGTCAAACGGTGCACGGTGCTCCATGTGCAGCAGCCCCTTTCAGGCCGCTGAAGGCTGAAGGCCTCTTTTTCCGACAATGGCCCATCACCATGCCAACTGAAACCGTGCCAGCCACGGTGCCAGTTTGGCACGGCCCTCGTGTTAGCACTGGATGATTCAAGGGCATTAAAGCACAATGTTGGGGGGGGTAAGGGGCACTGGGAGGGGGGGTTCCAGTTCATAGACGTCTGTGCCAGGTTTCCCAACGCGGTTTGCTTTGAGGCAGCCCGTCATTCATCGCTCTCCGCCACTTCCCCAGCTCTCCTGCCGCTGGCCTGAGCCGCGGGCACAATCCAATCTTCTGAAAACTCGCTTTGCATGCACAGAAGCACCGGTCATGCTTTAACGTTCTATATTTACTCCCAAGCTGTACATGAAACAAGAGTGTTGAATATTTCGCCACGGGTCTCTTTTTAAAAAAACGGGAACCGAACAGCACGTATTCGCCGCCCTCGTTAAAAATTGATGATCCAGAAGAGAAAACATCTTTGTTGGTTTGTTAAATTGGAGCCTGCCATTTTGTGTTCTGGATGAATGTTGTAGTTTCTAATCAAGGAACGTGTATTTTTCCGCTCATCATTAATGCCGTCCCTGTTTTCTCTGCCTTGCAGCGCTCGGAGCAAGTGACTGTGATGGGCTGTCGGACTGCATCTGAAGTGCTCTACCAAAGAATAATATCTACTCCTGACCTACTCTGAAGAACAATATCTGATTCAATCAATGTTGCAGCCTCCCCTAAGGGGAATTACTCCTGAGTAATAGGTGGACCCTCAGAAAAGAGCAACATTGGATAATGTGATACTTGACCTTCAAGGAGAGAACTCAGGTACACTCCACAAGATGTCAAATCTGATCTGAGGCTGCTCTCGAGAGGGTCGCGCCACTCAAAATCCAACCTTTTTTTCACGTGTTCTCAAGCTATACTCAAACACCATGTCCCAGTAGTGACAAAGTGTAGTCATCAATGCTGGATCTTCATTTATCAAGGAGTACCAGACATCTCGTCATGGATTTGAATGAGATTTTTCCCCCAAAAGAGCGGCAGTGAGAGAGACTGGCGTGTGAGGGGAATCGGACGCTGGGCGTCGGGAGGATTAGCTAGTGTGCTGCTAACCCATGGTGGATCTGCTGTGAGCGGGACGAGGGAACCCAGCAGTGGAGGATGTCAGCGGAGGCCGAGCTCCAGCCGGGTGTCAAAACCAGCCAGCGAAAGGAGTCCAGGAGAATCAAAGGTAAGTCAGGTGCTTTCTTAGCAAACTCTAACCGCGCCACGGTAACGCAATAGCACAACTGTCCTGGAATAGAGTTGCGTGTGAGAAAAAAAAAAAAAATCTCTCATGTAGAACTGTGACGGAAGGGTCTCGACAAAACCGGGATACTGGCAGCTTCCTCGTGTTTGGCTGGCAGCTCGCATAACTTAAGATCATGTTTAGATGGAGCTAAACGACGCCGGACTGCATGGAGAGAAGCTTCTGCCGCGACGATCCAGATGTAGTAACAGCTATTCCATGTGGCCCGAGGGTATGGTAGTGCCAGCAGGATTTAGGTGTCACGGACGGGGTCATTCACACTCTGTCGCTTTGATGAGCCGCGTAAGTGATGTAAGAGGACGAGGCTTCCTCTGAAAGCTCACTGGTAGATGGAAATGGGATTGAATTGGCTTGAAGGGAGAAAAGGAAGAGGAGATAGCGAGCGAAAGAGAATGAGATCCACAGGGAGGGGAAAAGAGAAAGCTTCCTCGTTGGCCCTGACTCTCTTCCTCCTCTTCTTCTTTTCTTCTTCTTCTTCTTCTTCTTCTTCTTCTTCTTCTTCTCCTTCTTCTTCCCATTTCTCCGCACATGAATAAAGCCATTTCAGCTAGTCCAGTAAATCTGGCTTCTGCGGGCCGGCTGTAACGAGGCCGCAGGGCCGAGTCCTCTGTGGCTGTTTCGTTCGGCCCTTCTTCTCGCATTACAAAGAACCCCGCCCCCTGGGGGCCGACCCTTTTTTTTTGATTATTTTAAGGGGGGGAACAGGGGGGGGGGGGGGGGGGGGCACGTGTGGCGGATTCTCAGCGCAGGCTATCAGCCCCTGACTTGATCATGTTAATCACATGTGCTGCAGAGACCATTGTCACAATCAGTAGGGATGGTATTCAGATCCATATATATGGAAATGGGGGCTGTGAGGCAGCAGAGATAGTGGTGTAGTGGTGAGGATGCTTGTGACCAGGTGAAGGACGGATGGCAATCAGGTTGATGACATGTATTTAGATAAAGCAGGTTATGTGTTTAAATGGCCGGGGAGCTGCAGGAGAAATGAGTGTGATTCAAACCACTAGATTGCTGTTATTTTACATTTGTCAGAGATTCCTATCAACACCCAAACCATGTATGTGTTGTAGTGTTTCTGACTTTTCCTCCCCTGTTTGTTACTGGTCTAAACTTAACGTTATACTTTTTAAAAAGGCTATATGGTTTCCTTAAAGGGGACATATTCACCCTAACCCGACGACAGGTTTGTAGTTAATGGATTGTTATCTTCCTGGGAGAGGCCAGCCACCTCCTCACACCTCCACATCCTCAGTACTGAATAGTAAACTTAAATGTTTGTTACTGAAAAATGTTTTTAACTCATTAGAATTTGTTACTCAATAATATTTTTGAATGTCTCCACAACCTCTTGTTGGCAGGCTAAGTTAACTGTATTTTATGTTTTTTATGGGATTTATTGAGGATTAGGAAGATCCAATATATTTCTAGGCTTATCTTTTAATGCAACAGCTGCTTTGCGTGGCCTATTGATTCAGAATTTGCTCAAAGAACGTATTTCAACACAGTTAGATACCAGACACACTATCTCATGTTTCATTTTAAGAAAGTCGTGGCGCTCGCCGTTTATTTCAAAAATCATTCACAGCGGCAAACTGGCTGTCATGGTAGAATCAAAGCTCCCCACCATCCATCAACATGCGTGGCTTTGCTCTATCTCCATAGCAACTGTTGCTCTCCCACTGTAATCTGTGTGCAGGAAAAAATGAATTCATTTCAGAAAGAGAGTCAAGGAAAGCGGACAGAGAGACATTGAAAGAGAGGACGGAGATCCCAGCAGATGGACACGGAAAGAGACAGACGAAGGCAAAGAAAGATGATATTACGTCACCTCTCGTATTGATTGTAAGAGGCTAAACGAATAGTAACCTATTCGACCATTATCTCCCATTTTGACCGTATAATTTGCTGGTATTCTTATCCAACCGTTCATCCCACTGCTTCCCCATGAGTGTGATGATAGCGTCATTGTGGAGCACCTACCTAAAGAATGACCCCCCCCACTCAGCACACATCAATACCTGCGTGTGACTCCAGGGAGAGTCAATGGTCGGTCCACTGCATTGGCGATGTGCACAAAGACCCTCATTAACTCTGCGGCTGCTTTAACGATCAGTCACTAAACCAAAATCTCAATCTGTTGGTTTAGGCCAAAGTTGGATGGAGGAGTATTTTCATCAGTGCGTGATAGAAGAGGGAATGCCTGGTGCTGTTAAATTAGTGTGTATCTGCGCGTTTGCCGAGCCTCATGCGAGTTATTTCATGCACACGGGAAGGGCAGATGGCAGGGACAGATTTGCCTTCCTCAGATATCATTCTCCTCACCGCTGCTGAAAGTCATCAGCCCCCCTGTGCTGACAGGACATGCATAGTGTTTTTTTTTTAAAAGTGGCGAACATTGTACATTGCATGAAGGTGCGCCCAAGTCTCAGAAGGCGTCGCCTCGATACATAGCGTGCGTGGACCTTCTGGCAGACAGGGATATTGACAGGAAGAGACAGATACACACTCGGAAGGGTTCAAAGGTTAAGCTGCCTCCATGCCCAGATCCCCAACAAAAAGTTCCTTGTTGCCAAGTCCTTATATCTGGAGGGGCACTTCTGACTCTCCATCTGTTGCCATCTGTCTCTTCACTGTCCCCATTCTAGTGCGGCGAGGCGGAGGATGCAACACTGGGATCAGAGACAAGCCCTGAAACAGTATGGAGCAGTGCTAACAGTAATTGTTCCCTCCATGGTCCTGGTGCAGGGCTTGTCTGTGTCAGGTGGGTGGGGGTAGCGTTTAATTTGATGCCCTCTGATGTCTCTGAGGTTTTTGAAGATTTGGATATGTGGTTTTATTAAATCTTCGGAAATGGGGGCTCACAAGAAATATTAATGGGTGAAGTGAGTGACCAATGTCCCATACTGGGTTCTAACCTGGGACGCGTGCATCTTAGGCCACTAGGACTCCCAAACGGCAGCCGTGTTGTCCTGCGCGTGGGACACACTTAGATGCTGACTGTCATTATGAACATCAGGCTTATGGGACAGAAATATTGTGAGGACCATTCGACCTAAGGTAAGTGTAAATCCAGAAAGCCAGAGGAATATGTGTCACCCTCCTCACACACACACACACACACACCTTCTCCCTCTCGCTTCTCCTTTCTTACAGTAAAAGTAACAACACGAAGCAGCATGCCCCGCAGCGGTTTTCAAATACAGCGCAGTCGCTCGTGTTGTTCTGAACCCAGAGCACGTAGCGTACGAGTTATGCCACTGTGTCAAGACTCTCATTGGGTATGCAAGGCCTACTTTTTGTGGATCTGCGCATGAACCTCTAAATCTCTCCTGAAGTGTTATTAAGGGAGCTGTATGTAAAGAAACAAATGGCACAGAACATCTGGTTAAAGCTCATCGGAGAGATCTGTGCTGAATCGGACCGATCGCGTTTAAAATGCAACTGGAGCAGCATGCATTTTACATTACATTAGTGTATGAGTCAGTACAATCTGGATGGAACACAAAATGCTGTATGAATAGGCTCCAGTCACTGTATGAGGAATGGGTTGGATACAGTACAGCACTAATTATCATAGGATTCCACCCTCTGTCCAGCAGGGTTTAAGCAAGATGACATGAATAGCAACGCATACCAGACGGGGAAGCGGGAATGGTGATTTCTCTACACGTTAATGTTGAGAGGAGCATGGTGGCTGTATATGACACTCATTATCCTCTTAGAAACAAGTCGGAATAAGAACCAGATTTGACATTCACTTGCTTAGAGACTTTAGCATCATCAAGTGCCCCCCACCCTCCTTTAGTGAATTATACCCTCATGGATTAGTGAGAGGGTGAAGAGAGCCTCCATTGGAAATTGGATGTTTCTTCATCATTTGCAAATGTATTTGCACTAAAAAATAACCAGAAAAATGTCTTCTTGATGTTTCCCTGGAAATGGAAAGCGATGGAAGGAGACGTTTCATTTGTGTTCAGGTGGATGAAGGACGGGTGGCTCTACTGTGTGTTTCCCGTGTGGAAAGGGGTAATTCTGGTGTCGTCCTGTCTTTGAGTGCAGCGCCGACACTCTCTGCTAGAGATATTACACCTTCTTCTCCTCCTTCTCGCACACGCCTCAGCCAGCCACTTAGCTGTGCCGTTAACTGATTGTACTGTGCGGGCTCTTGACCTGGAGTCGAATGAGCAGGGGGGCTCGAGAGCTGTTCAATTCTCAAAAGTGAGGGTGACCTTGATTTTGAAATCCCACCGTCTACTCATGTAAATCCAGCACCCGGCGGTAAACGGCGTCTTGGAGGCTGACAAAACCGTTTATGAGGGGGTTGTTTATGCATTGCAGGAGTTTGAGATGGCGCTCGAGATACTAAAATGAGAAAGGTGTCTGTGTCAAGGTGGCGCCGGGGAACACTCGCAGACCTTGATAGACAGAATAATCAGCCACAGGGATGAGCGGGAGACTCGGTAAAGGGGGGTGGGGATCTAGTTATAAAGCCCAAGGCCAGCCAGCCACACACACACACATTCGCTCACACCCCCACCCCACCGACCTGCATCCATCACCCAGGGAGGGCATGGTGGATTACGGGTGAGCGCTGGACCGAGATGATTCCTCTCAATGGCGGCCATTCAAGGCGGTTTGTCACCGCCAATAGCACCCATGGGAACCGTGGGCGAGACGCAGGGAGCGAAACACCTCGTAACCTTCTACCCCGGGCTTTTCATGTGAATGCCCCACAATGCCCTGCAATGGGATGACAGAGTGTTCTCCATGTTACAGTTGTTTTCTCATTCAGTCCACCAGCTTTATCCGGCTTCTTTTTCAATCTCAAGTTCAATTTCCTTTCAGTCTTTGCCCAATGCTGCTAATTTGCAATTCATTCTGCATTTCCTATTCCATAAATATTTATACCAGAGCAGCCATCTCTCTTTTTCTATGTCACACACACACACACACACACACACACACACACACACACACACACAGAGTAGCCTCTCTACCTGCTTACCGTAATTGCTTTAATTTTTGTCTCCTCTTATTTCCCCTCCTCCCTCTTTCTCTCCCGCCGCAGGTCAGGACCGCAGTGAGGCGGGGCTTATTAAGCGTTTCCGCGGGGATGGTGTGCGATACAAGGCCAAGCTGATCGGGATTGATGAGGTGACAGCGGCGCGCGGGGACAAGCTGTGCCAGGACTCCATGATGAAGCTGAAGGTGCAGACTTGTGTGTGTGTGTGTGTGTGTGTGTGTGTGTGTGTGTGTGTGTGTGTGTGTGTGTGTGTGTTGGGACATCATTGAGCCTGTTCGCTCATCTCTGTTAGATTTGGAAAAGGCATGCTCGGGCATGTCTTCATCCTCTGCTGAACTGTTTTGTCCTGTATATGACTCACTAAAGCTCTGTAAAGACCTGACCGGACTGAACAAACACGAGTCTGACCATATTAGTCGGTAGCCCCGTGTCTTGTAGGGTTGGATTTATATCTTTTGCGAAATATGACCAGCTTTGTATACTTTATTTTCCCTTTAATAGGCTCCCGTATTTTTAGCATCGCTCAAAGCTCTCTGCATTTATTCATACAGATTTTTGACCTTGGAGGCAAACTGGCTTCTTATGTTGAGATACCGAAAGCAATTTATCACTTGAATAGTAAATTCTCACTTTTTAGTGTGACTGCAACAACATGCCCCCCGCCTCCGCCCAATATGTCTGCCTCTTGAATGTCTTATCATGTCAATCACGGCCTACTATTTTAGAAACAAAGTCCACGATGTTTTACATGTAGCACGTATGCAAACTGCAGTAATGTGACCCAGATAATCTTTTAGCCCGTGTTCTTGACAGAATGCTGCAAGTAATATAGGTCAAATTCAGCTCCACAGTAACCCGGGGAAAACCGTGTGAAGACTATTGATTGTGGAATAGTACGATAAGTATTTCTTCTTCATTTGTCCTAAAATGGCGTGTAAATGAACTAGTTAAGAGTTTACCTTGTTAACAGTGCTTTTTGTAACTGATACCACCCATTTCATCAGTTGAAATGATGCCTGAGGCGAGTCGATGTAACCTAATTATATCACCATGCAACATTCAGAAAATGTTTTTCAGCTTTGTTTTAAAACAAGCATTGTGTGAAAGAGGAGGTAATGATGCACTTGATGGCTTCACACAGTATATCGTACAAGGAGGCTGAAGTCAGATGTCCAGATGTTAATGTGAGGTATCGCTGTTAATGGAGTTCACTTCACATCCCTTCTACACAAATCTGAACATAGCTGCTGAGTTTTGATTGGCCAATCGGTGTTAGGCAATAGTTTGCTCCCTCTTCTCTAAAGTTTATTTAGTATCCTCTTAAATGCCTGCTATGTTTACTGACTCCACTGTAAAAAGGCAAGAAGTACTTATCGCTCGCTTTGTTGGTAAAAAAGCAGCACATAAGCGTCTTTGCAGTGGGTGGCTACTGCATAAATCCTCCTCCAAAATAGGGCGTACGCGCCTGGCTTTTTAAGTATCTTCTCACACACTTCGCTGGGGCTTAAATGTGTGGGAAGGGTTAGAAAAGAGCAGGATATCTAGAAGGCAAAGCCTCTCATCAACCGTATCCATTCCAAGTGATGAAAACCAATAAAACAACTTTTCCCCCGCCTGGGTTCTGACATTTCAACAGTCCCCCCCCCCATATGACTGCAGTAGTCACCAACTACTAGCCGGTTTCAGTCGATGGAGAAGTCGATACGGACCTGCTATGATCTGGACACAGGATGGAGGAGGGGGACGGGGTCTCTATCGAGCTGCCTCTCGTTGCCTTGAGGACTAATCCGCCAAATGGAGAAGTCGATTGCTGATCGACAACGTCCATCGACTCTCCCGCCCTCCCGCCTCTCCCTCACCCTACTTCATCTCTTCCTTATCTCTGCTGCTTGTTCTGCTCTTTACCCCCCCCCCCCCCCTTCCTCTTTACCCGTTCCCTTTTTATACTCCCCTGGTCCCTTGAGGTCGTCTTTCGCTCCTTTAAAGGGCCGTTTCCGTACGTAAACGTGGATGGATATTTTCCCTTAAACATCCCCCTGCAGGGGCAGAGCTCCGTGTGACCTGTTACGGCTTGAGTTATAAATATTAGCTAATCCTTGGAGAGTAGCTGACATACAGGAAAGGTTGACCACTCGTCAGGTTGTCAGACGCGGTCAGCGCATTGGGCAGGTCTTTCTTCTCCTCCCTTCTCCTCTCTCTCTCTCCCCCTCTTCCGTTCTCCCGCAGGCTTAGTTCCGCGAAAGACGTGCCAAGCAGGCGCCTGGCGTCAACTAAAACACGCTGGAAATGTTAATTGTTTTCTTTATTAGAGCTGAGAATGTAAGAAAGACGAGGTGAGCTACCGAGATCCACGGAGACGAAAATACACTTCAAAGGCTGGATGGGCTGTTTAGTCAGCACGGCTTGAAGTTGTCGGGGCGAGTTGGTTTGGTCAGCAGCGCGATCTACGGTGTCAGCAAAATCTCACCTTATTGTTTGTTAGGTGGCACTCGCGCGTGTGTCACGTCGAGGTGCAGCACACCTACTCCAAGAAAAGGGAGAGAGAAAAAAAAAAGGGCTCTGGGGAAAAGAAATCGGCCGCAATAATAATAAGACTCGCTGCACAATCCGACGTGCGAATTCCTCTGAGAGTGAAGCTTCAAGAAATGGCACTTGAAAGAACATTCTGTCCTATCACACCTTACGTAACTCCTGTCACCCTATCCCTCCCCCCACTCCCCCTCAATCTCTTCCACCATCTCCCACCGTCACACTCACCTGAGTCGGAAAAAACTGTGTCACTTGCCGAGCTCGTATCCTTTCATCTCCACGTGTGGTTTTCCTTTAATCTCCTGCAGGGAATGGCTTCCTCGGCACGTTCCAAAGGGGAGCACAAGCAGAGGGTGTTCTTGACGGTCTCTTTCGGCGGGATCAAGATTTACTGTGAAAGATCAGGGGTGAGTAGCGTGTTCGGCGAGGAGGCCCGGCGGGCAGAGGCTGCCACCCTGCTGCAGTACAGGACGTCCAGAGGGCAGACGCCGGCACGGTCCGGTTCACAGCAGCTTGCCGGGGCCGCCATATTGTTAGCCTGTCTGGCGCGGGTTGATATATTAGTTTGACTGTGATATATATATATATGCGGGAGGAAGGTTATGCTGAACTTTTTAAAAAGTGAAATACCTGCAAAGTTCCAAACTCGTCTCCCACTATCAATGCAAACTGAGCAATTACACGCTTTGCACTGGGCGGTTTGCCATTTAGCTCATAAAGATTCATCCCGGCAGCTTTCAATTACAGGTCGTCCATTTGATATTTGAGATTAGTGGTGTGAGCGATGCCGTGGTGATGGTGTGAGAGGGTCCGTTTCCGCCTCCGTCCTGGCTTCCGTCCCTCTGGTGGACTCAGAGGCCTGCTGTTTCATTACAGGATGATCGAGGGGCTCGGCTCCCCCCGTCCTGCGGCGTAGTGTTGGCTAGATAGGCCCACTCTGCTCATCAACGCTAACCGATAATTAGCACTCAGTTCCACCCCTTAATGATCATTGCCGCTAATGCTAATTACACCGCGGCTCCACCTCAGCTGCAGAGCTAAACTGATAATTAAGCGACAGCTTTTGTCCCATGGCTGCAGACCCCCACCCCACCACCAAACCGTGGTCTACTCCCCAAAAAAGAGCCATCTTTGATGGTATCTCTTTTCAATATGACCGGTGGTGATAGTGGTGGTGAATGTCTTTAGCTGGTAATGAAAAAGAACATTAAGCCTCCAGCCGCCAGTAGTCAGCTCACCAGCTTTTGACAAGCTCGTTTGTTGTTTTGGAAATCATGCCCCCTAATGCTTCTCATTTTATTTACTGATTACTGGCAGTGAATAACGCTGCACGTTTAATATCCCTCTTGAGTTAGGCACGCAGCATCAGCAAGCTTTTAGATGGAAAGACTTTATGTGAAGCTGACTTCTCCGCAGCATCGAGTGGACCAGTCATATTAGTTTTGTATTATACGTTAATCTGAGGCATTAGTAGCGACACTCCCCACTAAATATTGGTTAATGTTAAAACGAAAATTCCTCCTCAAAGCTTAAGCTTATCTCTCATAATTCTGGAGTGGTAGCTGAATTACTCCCAGTGTGTATCTGTGGGTGCGTATTTATGTTTTGCTAGCATTTTGAACCAAAACGTTTTGAATGTAGTTTTTGAAAATGTGATGGATTGTAGTTTTTTTTAATTAACAAATTTCCCAGCATCTCAAATCCTGCTCATGTCAAATATGGACATGAATAAAGAGGTGGAACAGAATCTGAGAGAGAAGATCACAAAACAAACATCTGCTGCATTACAAGTTGTGCAGGAACTAAAGTATAAATTCGGTACTGTGTAGGGATTTGGACCCCCTTGAATCTCTCCTCCCTCTGTGCGGAGTAAGTTGCATTTGGCTCATTATGCAAATATGTTTAAAGCAGGTTTGTCCCACTTTTCATGCCAACACAATGAACAGATTTTGTACTGGTAAAATATTTGAAACAGGCAGGAATTAAACAAGACAAAGACTAGATTGTGTGAAAACCCCTATTTCAGTAGATCCACATGGTCACTGCTGTAACACTTAACTTAATCTTTGCCGTATAGGTGCTCATGCATCACCACTCTGTCCACGAGATCAGCTACATCGCAAAGGACACCAGGGACAACCGGGCCTTTGGCTACGTCTGCGGGAAGGAGGGCCACCATAAGTTTGTGGCCATCAAGAACGCACAGTCGGTACGTACTTTCTAAAACACTAAATACCACAGGATTGAACATCTTCCTATCAAAGCCGAGAACCGAATTGTGTTGAGACCAGGTCCATGCAATGGATACAGAGGGTCTAACAATTAACAATTCGAGCTTTGCAGCCGCACAGTTCTGCAGCTGTGCAGCTGTGCAATGCTTTTCCTTACACTCAACCCGTTGATTAAAATTGTTTATAGGCAGTCAAGCCCTAATTTCTGACTCAAGTCCAAGCCTCAAGCCCACAGATGTGCACTCTTTAGTTGAATCATAAATCTTGAGCTGTAGCTCCGGTGGAGGATTGCCGAAAACATAAATAGTGGTGTAGTTGAATGTTGCTGCGATGTGTACTGCAGGACACTTCAGCACTGTTCATTTTAACAGCTAAGAGCTAAGAAATTGCTCCCGATATTAAAATGCACACCTCGGTTTCTAGTTTCTACTGCGTTACTTTGCAGTTCTGGTGTATTTACAAGACATTTCTTAGATAAATAGCTGTTTTTTGATTGAGCTTTAATTCCTCAATACTAACCACTCTCCGCTGCGCTGATCTCGTTTCCTTGTGAAAAAGGTAGCAACCAAACATCTTTGCATTCTGCAGTCACATAATCTATTCTAAGTGAGTTGGCCGACTAAAATAACATGAATAGTTGAATAAATACATAATAAAATAAAAACCAAATCATAAAGGCCATAATAAAACACATTCATTAAATTGTTGTTCCCTCGCTTCCATTTCCCCTCATTTCTCGCTTCCTGCTACTTGATTTTCCACGTTCTCTCCCTCCTCTCATGCAGGCGGAGCCTCTTATTATTGACCTGCGCGACCTCTTCACGCTCATATACGACATTAAACAGCGCGAGGAGATGGAGAAGAAGGCCCAGAAGGACAAACAGTGCGAGCAGGCTGTCTACCAGGTAGGGCGGCACATTGCTGCTTTTACCTTTTAATAGTTACGAGGCGAGATCACACGCTGAGCAATTCATTCGCACAACAGAAATCTTAACACTCTCAATCTAAATATAATGGAAATGCAACAGGTTTAGATGCTTTTTGCTGTTCGCAGTCGGGTATGTGTGACGGAAAATGTTGGTGTTGCTGCGTGTGTTTGATATAGCAAATGACGGTTTCATTAAAAACACAGTGTGAGTGTGTAATTATGTTTGCCTGCAGGAAAAGATGGACTGAGATGAATGTAATGTTGTTTTTATTTCATGTTGCTTTTTTGTCCATCCATTTACTTTCTAATGAGACTCTAAATTCGGCTGCACTCTGTTACTGATGGAAAACAAAATATGTCATCTGCCTTCTGTCCCACCATTACACAGACCATCCTGGAGGACGAAGTGGATGATCCAGTTTACCAGGTAGGTCCGCAGGCTCCTGAGCAGCAGGGAAACACTGCCGATCTTGATGCTTTTGTCACTCTTAAAGCTTGGAATAAAAAGACGCGGAAAAAAAAAAAGATTAATCATGAATTTTAATATCCCCTCCAGTCACTGATCTGCTTGAATTAATGATTCATTATACTCCGCCATTCCAGTAATACACAGTAGACTATCCTAGTGGGCAGTTTTGTTCAACCATTCAACTCCCATTTGCCAGTGCAGTGTTGTAAAACCATATTTTTTAAGTTGATCCGTGTCAATGTTCTGATTTCTTCCAAAGGCCCCCCCCCCCACCCCGACTGATTGTTACCCCCCTCCCTCCTTTCTGCCCCGTGCATTTATTTGGCCGTACGTGTTTTCTTCTCTGTGTTTGCTCACACTGAATACAGACAACGCTAACTCTTACTCTGAATGCTATGTTCAGTGGTACGTCGAACCACCTCACCGATCTCCTCTGTTCTTCGCTCTGAAAGTGTGTTTTGCATAAAGTCATTCCATTCGCAGCTTCCGATTATGTTGATGTTGGTTGACAAAACTCCAGACTGTGGCCGGAAGGAGTACTTCGACATTTTGGGAACTACACTAGTTCTTGACTTCTATTTTTTCGCTGATAAGATCGACGCCCCCTCGTGTCGGTGCAGTAAATTTGGAGCTGGAGCCAGCAGCCAGTTAACCGAGCTTAGCATGAAAAAAAATACGGTCCGCTTTGTCCGTCCAAAAGGTACAAATCCACCAACCGGCTGATCGTCTGATCTTTGGTACTTGATTTTGAATCAGTTTGCCTGTTGACTGAAATTTTTTGTCCAAATTAAGTCATTCTTTTTGTTTTCATCACAACATGCCAGTCCGACTTGTATCACGTTTATTAGTATTTTTAGTCTTCGAAGCATTTTGAGTATTTTTACAGCTGCCGCTGTCTTTGTCGCGTACTGTTGTCATGGTTACAGGTCTCGTTCTCATCCGTCGCAAGGTTAGTGGTAAAGGCACTGTTTACACACACACACACTCTGCTCCGCAGTAACACAACACACTGATTCTCCTCGGTGACTCGACTTTTCATTTTTCATTTTAAAATCCTGGCTGTTTGACCAGAACCACTAAGTCTCCGTTGTTCCTGGTCACCGAGCATCAGCCTGCACCTTCTCTTCACATAAGAGCAGCTGATCATTCAGAATGTAATTCACTCACTTAAACCAGAGTTAATTACGGAACGCAGCGTTATTTCTTTGGCTGTAATAATAATCCTTATTCTTTATAACATTAAAAACTAAAAGTCCCTTTTGATGTTACATTTACTGACCTTTGTCCTCATGCTGCTTGCATGTTTTTGTAGTCTATCTACTTTTTTGTTGCCGATCCTTGTCTAATTCTGAGTGAATATGGGACTAATTTAGTCCAGAAATTTGTGTCTTCCGAGAAGTGGTAACGTCAGACAGACATTTCTGACGGAGACATAACGTTGTTGAATGGAAGACGCTTCTTACCGATGGAAGTCAAACAGCTCAACTTCCGAACAAGAGATGCTTTTTGGCCGAGACAAAATCAGGTTACCTGATCACACTTTGCAATTTTTTCTAGTAATTGGGTGATTTGTCCATTTGTCCGTCCTTCACTTTGTCGTTTGTAATTCAACCCTTGTTTATGTCAAGAAAATTAGTGGTGGACAAATTTAATTTCAATCCGACAGAGCTTGTTTCCCTGTTTCCTGTCTCAATGCTACACTAAGCTAAGCAGCTGCTGGCTCCGGCAACATATTTACAATCGTATTTCCAAAAATGTCAAACTATTCTATCAAATTGAGATCCATAAAGGAATTTATTAACATCGATCTCAAGCGTGCAATCTGACGTCTGGGTCTGGTTTCCTCTCCATGAGGTGGAGCATCATCTTGCTGATGTTGAAGTGAGACCTCCAGCTAAGAGCTCCACATTGCCTTGAATTACTGCCTGACCTATTCTACTTGTGCTCTTTCCTCTTCCCACCTCACTCTTTTTTTCCCTTCTCTCCACATCTCCCCCATTCCTTCTCTGCCACGCCCCATTTATTATTTATTTTTTTACACCCCTCATATTGATGATCTCATTTCACTGCCCGCTCGCCGCCATTCCACCCGCTCCCCCCCCCCACCCCCCTCCCCGTGCTTTCATTTATTCTCCCCCCTTTGTCGTATCTCTCCTTTTTATATGCCAACGTTCCTCTCTGACTTCACATCTCATTATTCTCTGCACCTCTACGCTTTGCCCACTACTTCTGTTCTGTAGTACATAGTGTTTGAGGCTGGACACGAACCCCTCCGTGGCCCCCATTCAGAGGAGAGCGTGTATCAGGTACAAAAGACAAGCATTGCCCCCCCCCCCCCCTCCTTTTTTTTTTCTTCTCCCTCTTCATACCCTGTGATGGATTATAACAGTTAAAGTACTAACGACGTGACGTTATAGCTTCAAAGATAGTGAGAAGTTGCAACGTGTTTTTTTCTGGGGATTCAAAGATAGTTTAAAACGCGCTTCCTCTGTTCCTCTATTAGTAGGTTCAAATGCTCGAGTTATGATCAGTGGGGTATCAATCCATTACTTCTTCACTAACTCAACTGAATCCCCTGTTGTAAAAAGGAATATTAGCATGTCTTTTTCGGCAACACATCCGTGCTAACCACAATGACAAACACAATGCGCTCCCTGTAGCTTCTTCACAGCGATAAACTCACATGTTTTGACAGTTGCACGCTTGTATTTGAAGCAGCAGCGTAAGATGATTCATTTGCATTAACAGTTACTAAATAAAGCTCTAATGCGGTCGATGAGAGAGCACACTAAACAATTAGGCAATCAATTAGATGAAATCGATTACACGCATCGGTTCCTCTGTGAATCCAACATGGAAACGACAGATTCTCCACTACCAACGGCAACTGTTTCATAGAGGAAACAGAGCAGCGTCTTAATGTTTAATATCTTAAACACGAGCCGAAGAGTCAAGGTCAGTTGTTCACCCAAAGCCTGCATACCAGGTTATAGCTCCAATGCGTTGACCTTTCGGCTTTAGAGCATTTGAAGGACACGCTAGGACTCTAGGGAGCGTTCGTTTGGTTTAATCCTCTCCTCCCTCCCTTTCCTTCCCTCTTCCTGCTGCTCCTCTTTATGCCTCTCTGTATCTTGCGTTTCTCTGAAGATGAAAGATGCAGACAGAGAGAGAGATTAATCACTTGCCATGCCATTTGATCTCAGAATGAAACAAGATCAATAGACTTGGGGGAGAACGTAAGGGAGAGTTAACCAGTCGAGGGAGCGATAGGGAAGACAGGCAGCAGCGAGGTTGAGAGCAACAGATAGTTTAGAAAAAGAAATACACAAACGAGGCCAAATGTAGTCAGATGAACCAGTTGAGACGTGCTGTTGCTGCATAACAATTGGCTGTCTTAATACTCACAGATCCCACCCGCACCACCGCTGGGCATTGTTTGCAATCAATATTGATTTAAGTAGAATTGATTCAACAAAAAAAAGATGAAGTATTTGCATAATCTCATTGCTCTAAAAAAAAAAAACTCGTTTTTTTTCCCCCCTTATATACACATGTTTCAGCTCCTGTTTTTTTTCTAATATCCCAGCCTGTTAAAAATCAAACATAAAAAAAGGTGTTGCTTTGTTACTTACTTACTTTGAATCGACCTCCAATCCAATGCAGGTCCCAACCAGTCAGCAGAAGGAAGGGATCTATGATGTCCCAAAACGCCATTTCATGACTGTAGGTGTTTTTATTTTTTTACCATTTGTTTCTTTCCCCTTGCAAACCTCTCTTTAACATCCTCTTGAAGGAAGTACCGCAAGCCCCCTTTAACCGTCTCCTTGTATCACTTTCCCCTTCTGTATTTAAAAGTTTTTAATAGCTAAGCATTGCAGCCCAAAGGCTCTGAAATTGATTTTCTAATACCAGAACGCCTCAGAACGTCTGTGTCTGCACGCGCTTTTCTGTGACGATGATGAAACAAAGCTACATTGGTCGTGCCTAGCCTGCCAAAAGAGATAAGACCAATTGATTGGTCAACCAAAAGTCGGACATGTCAGCAATTTCACAGGACATTAGAGACGCAGGCTTTGTATCCAAAATCCAATCTTGTGCAGAATCCCGAATAATGTCGTGACCAGACGGAGACGAAAATCAGCTCGGAGTCTGTTTTTCCCCGTCCCTTCCGACTGGCCGACGAGATGCGTGAAGGAGGGCGGGGGCTTTTCCGTCTTCCTCAGAGGATGGGGGGGGCGAGAGGTTTGTAGGTGGGCTCTCGGGTTGAGCTGCATGCGGCGTAGTCGCAGCTACCGCACGATCAAGGCCCCAAACACTCACAGAAGCCGGACCTTAATGAATGTGTTTTGTTCAGAAATCGGCACAAAAAAACATTTATGATTCCACTCTCACGCATCAAACTGATATAATAATAAATCTCCTCATCCTGGCGGGTTTTATGAGTTCTTCCCCACCGTGCAGCAAACACCGCTGTCACATCTCTCAAATCGCCCATAAAACATTCTTTCAAGCCTATTTCGCCCACAGACAATTTCCACGCAACTTTTGAAAACAGCCCCAGCAAAGTGCTTCTCTGCTCTCTGCTGTTTGTGTGCTTGTTGCTCAGCATATCAAGCAGATGAACTTTGCGGACCTCGCTATCTCACCTAACAGCCCATGCCAGTATAAGTAGCAGCGCTTCCATATCTCTAAGTGTTACTGCTTGTCTGTTCATTCAGTTGGAGCTTTTTGAGAGCCTCGAGCTCCCGTGATGTGTGTCAGCGCCTGCAGGGAGAGGCCTCTGTGTACAATGTTTACCTTTTTCTAAATTCAGACTCATTCTGTGACCCTCAATGGTTCCAAAGTGCCGTGCAAACTGCAATCCGCCATGTCCCGGCTTATTCAAGGAGGACATAACACTCTGTTAGAAGCAACACGGATTGCTGTGAATCCTCCTTTTTTGTTATTTTTTTTTTTTATCAGTATAAGTGTGTTCATGTATGTGTTTAGTTTATGCAAATCCTGCGTGTTCTGTGTGCTTTTGTGCTTTTTTGCTGTGATTCATTGTCTGCTTTTTGCATGGCCCCAGAGTCATTTCATGCGACTTAGTCATTCCATAGAGTGTCCTCCATAGCCGCGTTCCCGCCCCCCCCCCTCTACTTTAAATAGTTTGAGTAGAGGACAGAGGGGACCAGAGCAGGGGTCGCGTCTGCCCATAGGGTGAGGTGGCCTCATTGTCTCGGCTGGGTGGTTCCAGGAGCTTCCTCCTTTCATATATTTGATGAATAAACACGCTCCTCTGTGTACGTATCTGCTCCCGGAGCGGAATCAGCATGATAAAGCGTCCCGGGCTCTCGCGGGGGCCCCTCCTGATTGGCAGACATAAGAATATCTAATCAGAGTCTGTTTTATAGGACTGAATAGCCTTTTACCCACTCAATTATAGCGAGCCATGAAAGATTCATTTTAGATCCATTTTCTGATAATGAAACGAGGGGATAGTTGTTTCTTGCCATCCGCAGCACAAACTGCCTTTATGAATAGATTTCACTCCCCGCACCTACCCACCCAAACCCTATCTGGAGATGAATTCAAGGTTTCATGAGTGTGCAAATCTCATTTTCGTGATGTATCACTGGATTTTGTCTCTCTTCCTCCCTCCCTCCTCCCTCCCCCACGGTTCGACTCACAGAACATCAACCACTTTGATCTTTTCGGCGACATGTCCACTCCTCCCTCGGTGAGTGCTACAACACCAAACCAAAACCCGATTAATTTTCTTGTAATTGGTACAAGCAGGATGAAATTACATTATTTTATCTGTAATGCTGGGTCAGATCTAAATTACCTGAACATCCGACAGCACTGAAGATTAAAGATAAATGTGCAGCGGGGCAACTTTTAGGTGACTTTGAAAGTTGTGACATCTGTGTGTGTGTGTGTGTGATTTGCCTACCAGATGCCCCCATCCCCCGCCAACACACTGGACCCTAGCAGGAGCAGCCGACAGCAGCAACACGCCGCTGAGTTGTACGCCCCCTTCAGCCCCACCTCCATGCCGTCAGGTAGCGCCATGCATTTTAATATGGAACATAAAAGAGAACAAAGTGCTGGTGAGGGGGTGTTTTTCTTTGATGTGAATAGCGGTGCTTTAAGATAAGATTTTGCAGATTTTAGGAGAAAGCATTGACATTCAAGAACGTCCCAAAATCATGTCCGAACAACAGCATGATGAAGGGCAACCTGTCCGCGATAACACGGCTTATGGAGGGAATGCTTTTTGGCAGCAGACGAGCAAATCTTTGTCCCAGAAAAAAAGAATACGAAATAATACTCCAGCTTTAATAGCCCTGAATCGGTCTCCCTCCTCCTCCTTCATGCTCCAGGCTACATGACCATGGGTCCGGTGCAAGCCGCCCAGTGGGCGCAGCAGCCGTTTCCTGCCCAGGCCCAGACTCTGGCCTTCCCCGTGCAGGGGCCCCTCCAGGTCGCTCAGGTCCTCCCCGGTGGTCAGCCAGTCATCTGGAGCCAGGCCAACATTTTCCCCGCCACTCAGCAGCAGTGGGCGGCCATGGCGGCCTACATGCCTGCCCAGGCCGTGGGCGTGGGAGGGCACGCCATCCCAGCTGCCGTGCTCCAGGGCCTGGTACCCATTACCACCATGTGCCCCCAAGCCTGCGACATATCGGCCCCCTCCTCCGCCATCACCAGCCCGCAGCACGCGGCCGACGCGGCCCTTCTCGAGAGGCAGCTGAGCCTGGGGGGAGAAGGCCTCGGCCTCGACTCGGACGCCGGCGAGGGACCCTCTACGTCAGGAGCCGGAGCAGCAGGTGCGGGGTGCGGCGTCGCGTCCGCAGGGGTGAGCAGGTGCGGGACCCCAGGCCTCATGAGCGTACCGGACACACTGGTCTGCAGTCAGCTGCTGCCACCTTCGGCTGCTGCGAGCCAGGAAGAGGAAGAAAGCTGCAGCGACCTCGATCTCTCTAGGATGACCTTGAGCCCGGGGACATCCACATCCCCGTCGACTGAATCACGTAGGTGTATTATACGTCTTACTAAACCTTCATCTGTACCACTTAATTTGAAAAGCATTTAAAAAAACACACTGGATATATATATTATATATAGATATAGACATAGCTTGTTGTCCCTATGGATGGAAGTTCAACATCTATCCCATCCATTGCCATTCTATTGTGTACCGGCATTCATTGTTCCCAGGTAATGTTTCCCAGCTGACTAGTGACCCCTTGACTTTTCCTCCAGCGTCACCAGGATGCTCACATTTGTGGTCCTGAGGGATATTTTCCAAATGTATTGAACAGAAGAAACCTTTTGTATGTACAGATTACACTAACATAGTAAAAATCCCCACACGTAAACATTTAGGACTGCAGAACTGCAGGTGTTACAAAACAGACTCGTGTCTCTCAACCATTGAGGACAGGACAGAGGACGCAAAGCACAAGGAGAAATATAGGACAACATGCACAAAGGGAGAAAGATACAAGGACAACATCCACACAAGGGAGAAAGATACACGAGGAGAAGCTCAATCTGCACAGATCCAGCTCCAAACATCTGGAATGAGGCACCAACCGCTTCCGCTTGGAGGCTTGTTGGCCAGTAAACACACAGAGGGTTTTATGCAGTGATTTTCAGACGGTTTGTCATATTCAGGACGAAGAGAGATATACATATATATATTGTATTTATACCGAAGAATAAGGAATTCACCTAAAAGATGGGTTTTAGGGTTGAGACTTAAAAGCCAGTGACAGTGTCAGACCGTGTAATGTCCACACCAATATTATTTCAGGGGGAATAATAGAAAAGAGGCCCCGCAGCCTCTGACTTTTTAACCGTAGGAACAGAAAGGAGCGCTTTGTGCTGACAAGGGACAGCATTGAATGGAATATAAGGTTTTTAGGACATCCGACATATGGTATAAGGTATGAAATGGGGTGCATGTTAATAACGTTTTGCCTTGTTTACTAATGTGCAGAACAGGTTTTTGAATAAATATAAAAGCAAATTCAAAGGTCTGGATTTGAATCCGCTGCTCCTCAGGATACGACATGCATGTCACCAGCTTCATGCTAAAGTAAAAACCCAATTTATTACCTCCGGCTGTATTTACTGAACATTTCTTATTTCCTCTCCCAGCAGCATCCACTCCAGCCCCTCAGCAGAGCTCGTCCTCAGACTGCCCCCCTTCCCAGGCCAGTGACGCCCCCACAGATCACTCCCCCGTAGACCCCGAGGACAACTGCAGCAACGCCAAGGAGGAACAATCGGTGAGCTCCACCCCTCTGGGTCGATAACGTTCAACTGGCTGGCACAACGCTGCAATCTGTTAGTGTCACAGAGATGATCTGTTCTCAAGTACACTGCATGTAATCACACAGTCGCTGTCACGTGATTAATATTGCCAAATGGGATTGATTTTACACTTTTGTTTTTTTTTTAAGTAAAATGTCAAGCCAATTAAAAATGAAAGGTCAAAAATGATTAAAGTGTCTTGATTAGATCACAAGGTACAATCATATGTCACGGTAATTTCCCCGAATGTTTCACGGAGGTTTTGTGAGAATGTGAGAGAACAAATAGCCACGTTGTCAGGTCCTCGGCGCTGGAGGATAACCGATTTCGCCGAAGCATGACACGTGCAAAATGAGAAATTCTACAGCTCTTTCTTATTCTCAGGGCTCTGGTGTTGCAAGGTCAATCTCTCCGGCGCCGAGTGGAGATCCTGAGTCTTCGCAGGATCAGACCTGTCCACAGGAAGACAGCTAGAGAACCACGAGAACCCAGTGGGTATGCGTCACAGTCCCCTACTCGCCTAAATGGCTGGCTTTTATTCATCAACTACATTCTTTTCCCAACCCCCCCCCCTTTGAATTTTTTTGTGACCCTCCTGCTTTTTTTTTACCTTATTCGCTTTATGTTTACATTTTTCTCATTTCCCCTCAGCGATGCTACTTGGGAAAGAGCCCTGGTTTGGTTCAGTGTTACTATCAATTTGCCTTTTCTCTACTAAACCAGCGAAAGCAAAGAGAAGGCACAAAGCTGCCACCTGCTGGTTGGATTTGTAACTGCAGCAATGCAGCTTCCCTTCTGTACTCAACTGGCTTTGTCTTTTAGGGAATGGAAGCTCTGCAAGGCCAAGACAGAAGCTCACGAGAAAGAGACAAAGAGAGGGATGATTGACTGTGAACAGCAGCATCTCTCACAGCTGGATTACACAGATTTGTTCAGTTTATTTCAAACTTTAAAGGATATTTTGGCAGTTCTGTAATAAGCTGTCTGTCCTGGGATCTGCTCTCCTGCAGTGGCCACATATTCTACTCTACTCCTCAGCATGACAACCACACTTTGGCTTCATCGTCCAATGAAATGACCTTTCAGCCAGGAAGTGACCTTTGATCTTTGACCGAAAAACCTACAGCGAGAGGCGACTGCAGCCTCCTGCAACGGATTAAAGAGTTCATACCTGTGAGGATACAAAACACTAACGTGGTGACACTGATGATGCTAAATTCTAAATATTTTTGGAACCTTCTACGAGGAGCAGCGTGCAACTGTATGTGGTCGGCCTTTGTCGCGCGCCACCAGCGGAGACTGCGCACAGCAGACAGGTTTGCTAAATGTTCTCAAAGTGTTGCTGCAGCGACTCGTCCACTTGCATGAACAGACTTAACGTGGACTCAGCGGACTCTCTGCAGCTTCCTTCTACAACTGGAACGGATTAAAAAAACAAAACAAAAAAAAAAAAACAGGTTTTGATTTCTCTTTTCTTATTTTATAAGCTGTGAATTCTTAGTCGATGACGTCGAGTCGTCAGAGGTATCGAAATGACTTTAAGGCATCAAAGAGGAAACTTTGCCAAACATCTATTTTGTAAATAAGAATCTGCCCAGTCCCCCGATACCTGAGCCTCTGTGCCATAAGATAGCTCTCTGCCTCTTGGATGCCAACTGCCTGTGTTTCTCTCAAGCAATGCCCTACCAGCACCTCCATTTTTGACGTCTGGATGTTTGTTTTGCTTCTGCAGCCGTTTCTTTTGGGATTCGCAAACACATCCTTGTTTCTGTTCGGTTGTTGAGATTTGAACTGTGAATCTGTGTTACATGGTCATTCAAAATAAAGCCCGCTGTACCTGTCTCACTCACATTTCCAGCTCGAAAGAAAGGAAGGGTTTGAAAGGGAGTTTCAGGTTTTTCTATTTAGTTGATAGGAGGCACACTTTACTGCATCTTTTTGTTTTTTAGATATTCTACATTTCCAGCTGAGGTCGCATTGTTTACAATTTGCCTCTTTGAATCATATCTATGTTTTGTTTCTTCGATAATATAAGCAAAGTAAGTCCACACTGACTTAATAACCTTGAGCTTGAAGACAGTAGAAAGCATTTCTATGCCTTATCAGGTTTGTTTTTGTTGTCCAGTCACTGTTCTTGTCGGGTCATTTGTATACAGTAAACAGGTCATCGTTGTAACTAAGCACTTGGGCATATTGTAGGTCTGCTCCACTGAATCAAAATGGTCAAAAGGAAAGGCAACTTTATATAATATGAACAATAGAGATATCAATATAATCTGCTAGTCTTACAATAACAAATGGTAACTGTTCCCTGCTTGTGTAAGAAAAATGAGAAATAGTCCAAAATATTTTGTAAATTTTATTTATGGAATTAAGAGTTGTCATGAAAAAAAAGGACTTTTGTACGTCTATGACTTCCCCATACACTGTACCCATGCCACTGTTCAGTCACAAATAAAATATCATGTGATTCCCACCTCTCTTTCATTCATTGTAGTAAAGGTCACTCCGGCAGCCAACAGAGGCTGCTCTTCTCCAACTAATCCATGCAGTCGATCCCTGCTGCCAGGTGAATGTGCTTTGTCACTCGTATTGATTTAATTGCTTAATAATTAAAAGTACCTCTCTGGGAACCGTCACCTTATCGTGGTGGAGAGGTTTGTGTGTCCCTATGAACCTGAGGGCTGTGTTGTCGGGAGCCTTGTGCTCCTGGTAGGGTTACCCTTGGCAAAGTGGTCTCAGGCGAGGGGCCAGACTAAGAATGGTTCAAGACCCCCATGAAAAAACGGAAGAGGGAAGGAGTTACCCGGCCCGGAGGAAGCCCGGGGCCCCCATTTGGAGCCAGGCCCAGATGGAGGGCCCGACAGCGAGCGTCTGGTGGCCGGGTTTACCGCGGAGCCCGGCCGGGCACAGCCCGAAGGAGTGACGCGGCAGCCCAACACTCTACTCCCCATGGGCTCACCACCTGTGGAGGAAACCGATGGGGTCGGGTGCGCTGCTACAAGGGTGGCAGTGACAGTGGGGGGTCTAGACGGAACAGACCTGGGCGGCAGATGCTGGCTCTGGGGACGTGGAACGTAACCTCTCTGGGGGGGAAGGAGCCGGAGCTTGTGCGGGAGGTGGAGCGTTATCAGTTGGATCTGGTGGGGCTTACCTCTACGCACAGCCTCGGCTCTGGAACCAAACTCCTGGATAGGGGGTGGACTCTATTCTACTCCGGAGTGGCCCATGGTGTGAGGCGCCAGGCGGGTGTGGGGATACTCATAAGTCCCCGGCTGAGTGCTGCTACATTGGAGTTTACCCCAGTGGACAAAAGGGTCGCCTCCCTACGCCTTCGGGTGGTGGGGGGGAAAACTCTGACTGTTGTCTGTGCATATGCACCAAACAGCAGCTCAGAGTATTCGGCCTTTTTGGAGACCCTGAATGGAGTCCTGCATGGGGCTCCTGTAGGGGACTCCATAGTCCTACTGGGAGACTTCAATGCGCACGTGGGCGACGATGGAGATAACTGGAGAGGCGTGATTGGGAGGAATGGCCTCCCTGATCTGAACCCGAGCGGGTGTTTGTTACTGGACTTCTGTGCTAGTCACGGATTGTCCATAACAAACACCATGTTCGAACATAAGGATGTTCATAAGTGTACGTGGTACCAGAGCACCCTAGGCCAAAGATCAATGATCGATTTTGTAATCGTATCGTCTGATCTGAGGCCGCATGTTCTGGACACTCGGGTAAAGAGAGGGGCAGAGCTGTCAACTGATCACCATCTGGTTGTGAGCTGGGTCAGAGGATGGGGGAAGACTCGGGACAGACCCGGTAAACCCAAGCGTGTAGTGAGGGTGAACTGGGAACGTCTGGAGGAGGCCCCGGTCCAAAAGATTTTCAACTCACACCTCCGGCGGAGCTTCTCTCACATTCCTGTGGAGGTAGGGGACATTGAACCAGAGTGGTCTATGTTCAAAACCTCCATTGCTGAAGCCGCGGCGGTGAGTTGTGGCCTCAAGGTCTTAGGTGCATCAAGGGGCGGTAACCCTCGAACTCCGTGGTGGACACCGGTGGTCAGGGAAGCCGTCCGACTGAAGAAGGAGGCCTTCCGGGTTATGATATCCGGTGGGACTCCAGAGGCAGTTGCAGTGTACCGACAGGCTCGAAGGGCAGCAGCCTCTGCCGTGATGGAGGCAAAGCAGCGAGTATGGGAGGAGTTCGGGGTAACTATGGAGAAGGACTTTCGGTCGGCACCAAAGTGTTTTTGGAAGACCATCCGGCACCTCAGGAGGGGGAAACGGGGAACCATCCAAGCTGTGTACAGTAAGGATGGGACCCTGTTGACCGCGACTGAGGAGGTTATCGGGCGGTGGAAGGAACACTTTGAGGAACTCCTGAATCCAACTACTACGCCCTCTTTGGTGGAGGCGGAGCTGGAGGCGGAGGAGGGATCATCGTCAATTAGCCTGGTGGAAGTCACTGAGGTAGTCAAACAACTCCGCAGTGGCAAAGCCCCGGGGATTGATGAGATCCGTCCAGAGATGCTAAAGGCAATGGGTGTTGGGGGGTTGTCTTGGATGACACGCCTCTTCAACATTGCGTGGAAGTCTGGGACAGTGC